AGAAAGGCAAGCAGGGACTGGACTCAGGCAAGCAAAGGGCCTCATATGAGGACCCTCTACTAAAAGAGCGAAAGAACTGTTGAAGTTAAACAGGAACCAGCTACAATGGGTGATAAGACTACTTACAGGACACTGTCACCTCAAAGGACACCTCTTCAAACTGGGACTAAGTAATAGTCCAGCTTGTGAGGGGTGTCAAGAAGAAAATGAAACAGCCACACACATCCTGTGCGAATGTGAGGCGTTAGCTTATATAAGATTGTGTCACTTGGGTCAATATTTTATGAAACCAAGTGACTATTTTGACGTCCACACGTACAAAATCCTACACTTCATTTGAAGCGCAGGATTGTTGAGGGGATAATCAGAAGGAGAGGCACAACAGATCACCACGGTCGCAGGGCAAGGGCCAAGAAGGCCCACCCCTTATACATTCATTCATTCAGTTGCAAGTTTGTTGATCATAAACAATAACATGAGTGTCTGGTGAAAACCAAAAGGTGGCATTATGTCAAAGTGTTGGGAACAATTGCTTTACAAGTTCTGCCTAGAATCTTTATCTTGAATGCAACAGGTGTGTGGTGTGGTTGGTACAGAAGTTCTTAAGACATACCACAGACACAAATTTGTCACATTAGCTCATCATTTGGCAGCAAAAGAACCCATAGAAGTTACATGTTAAATACATGTACATTAATATACTAAATGGGTGATTTTTAGTTGTTCAAGGCTTCGTATTCACCTTTCTGGGTATATTGTTTAAATTTTTGAGGTTGGAAGAATATTAATGTTGTAAACTTTAGTATTCCATAACTTTTTCAGATACTCCAAGGTGCTAGAAAATCACATGGACACACTGCAGACACGAGCCTTGCCTCCATGTCCACACCTTGTTTGGGCACAGCCCATACCACTCAACAAGTCTGCACCAACGTACGTAAGTCTCAGCTCCACAGTCAGTCAAAATCAGTAACTGGCGTAAGTTTCAATATCCAGGAGTTGTAACAGTTTTCCACAAATACATTTAATTTTTCTTATATTATCAAATTAAATAAATTTCAAAGATAAAACAGTGAAAAATATTTATCATTTTACTGCTGAGAGATGTACTTAATAATAATTATTTGATTCATAACTGATATACTCTGAATTCTCTTTGATCATAGCAATCTCTACAAGTCACAGAAGTTGCTGTCTCTGTCCATTGAAGTACCAATGTGGCGTATGGGTCCACCACCAAAAGGAGGTGCTGCAGGTCAGGCAGATGGGTTATCAGGAGAGTTTTGGGGTTGGCGTGGTGAAAGAACAGGAATTGGAGAATATGATGAGGATGGCCTAAGCTCCATCCCTGGTTTCGTGTTGATGCTTCTTTCTTGTGCAGTGGTATTTCTAGCATGTCGGTACTACCGCCAGCGAACACGACCACGTAGGAAGCGTCCACCACGTCTTAGAAGAATCATGGCTGTTCTGAATGCAGGCCGTGTCCCAGCGGTCTAATAAAGGTAGTGAAACAAGTCTTCCAAAGTGGTACAGTGTGCCCAGCAACTTGATATCTGTGTTGTTGTTACCAAGCATAGAACACTCATGATTTTTAGTATGTCATATTCTTCTTGTACAAAAATAAAAGAATGTCTTGGTGGTGCATATTAGAATGCAAATGCAATAAATCCTGGTGATATATGTAGTATAATTAATCATACCATAGAATGGTTAGGCAAGACTGAATGGGATAGATTTGAGGTGTTATTAACATACATTACATTCACTCACACTTCAGCTTTATATAACATAATTTCATCTTTGTCTGTTACTCGCATTTTATTGTCATTGCACCCATATATTAAAATGTGTTATCATATTTTTATTGTACAATCATTTTGTAAACATCTTTTTTTTAAAATTATTTTAAATTCAAAAAAATATATAAAGTTTATTGTTTAATGTATAAATTTCAGCTGTAACCTATCAGCAGAAGATGGCTTACCAATATCCAGCCACTTCCCCACTGAATCAAGAGTAGAAAGCTGTACACAAATTTGGAGCACATATGTTGTCCAAATAAACATTTAGTTATTTTACTTGTCTTTTAAATGCTTCAATCTACTCAGACTGGACAAGGAACTACAGCTATGAAATATATCATAAAATATCCAGTGGTACAGATATCCATCTAAAATTGTTAAGACATGACCTCAGTGTGACATCTGTCATCACATTTCTATTTTCCACACATACAACAGTGTTATACATAGTTTACAAGTTTATAAATTACCCCTGTCTCGACTGTTACATGGTTGCAGTATTATTTTACATTCTGTGAAAAAAAAAGAAAAGGATTAGTAACAAAAGTTGCATATTCTTAAACCTATTTCCAAATAAGATTTCATATCTGTATAGTGAATATAATGAGGAGCTTCATAACTTGTACTCTTCTCCAAGTATAATTAGAATGATCAAGTCAAGGAGGATGAGGTGGGCAGGGCATGTAGCACGAATGGGGGAGGGGAGGAATGCATATAGGATATTGGTGGGAAAGCCAGAAGGAAAGAGACCACTGGGAAGACCAAGGCGTAGGTGGGTGGACAATATTAAAATGGATCTTAAGAGAGATAGGATGGGATGGTATGGATTGGATAGAGCTGGCTCAGGATAGGGACCAGTGGAGGGCTCTTGTGAACACGGTAATAAACCTTCGGGTTCCATAAAATGCTGGTAAATCTGTATAGTGAATGCTGCTAGGATGGCTTCCATTTCAGAAGTTAACCTGTCTTCCACTGCCATGATGCTCATTCCAGATGTAATGGAAATAAACAAACTGACTTGAAAAGTTGTGTGTAAAAGTACAAATATGATACCACAAACTTCACCTTCATATAGAATAAGAAGATTGGCAGGGAAATATGCAAGTAAATCCAGTAATATACAGAATATGGACATATTTTTTCAAATTATATTTTAATATACGAAGTTATCCTCAGCTTAATTAATTAAACACCACGCCATGAAGACGTACAAGGGAATACAGGTATAACTCCGCCATTCTTAACGTTGACATTAGGTGGAAGTGAATGGTTCCATGCCTCTTTGCATTACCTCCAGTATCCATTTTATAGGAGGCTGGGTGCACTCCAGAACTGGTCTGGAAGTTACAGAGAAGAGAAAAATATCTTGCACCTCCTAGGAATGGAATACAAATTCCTTGGTCTTCCAGACTATAGCCTACTCACTAAACCAGTTGAGCCATCCTGCCTCTGCACAGAAAAACATTGTAAATTCCTATTTCATTACTCTAAAGCAAATATTTTCAAGATTGGTCTTCTAGAATTTGACGCTGTGTAGTCTGGTACATAAATACCAATATTTCAGAAGAACCTGCTGCCTCCATCTTGAGGTTGGAGGATGCTTATACCTGAATATGGAGGTAGCAGGTTGCTTTCTATCTTTCTAACTAACTGTAGGGCTTCAAATCACAGAAAACCATGATCTTAATATTCACCTCAGATACTTTCAGTTCTTTTGTTTGATAAAAGGGAAGTTCTGATGAGGTACATTTACATTAAGAGATAAGATAAGAACTATTTATTTTTCAGTGGATTCTCTATGTCAACTGGTTGTTTCCTACTTGTAGTATCTGAAAAAAGAAATTCAGAATGGTGCAACATATGGCAAGATATGATTCTCACAAGGTTTAATGTTACTAACTATCAATCTTGTGTTATATTCCTTGTTACGTTCCAACCTATGCAACTTATGACTTTGTCTCCGATACTCCATTATGGTGTTTTCCACTTTTTGTACTGAATCAGGAGCGAATTTAGGTTCATGTGGGTACATATCATCACCTAGAAAAAATTCAGAACATGCATGTCATTCCACAGTTTGTACTTCGTGCCATAATTAAAGTGTGAGGAATTTAATGGTGAATGCATGTTAAATTAAATGCTGGGAAAACTAGGAAATTAAGTAGCCATTCTGCCATGTTTCTCTTCCTGTTGTCCAACCAGCAATGCATTTGGCTTGAAATTTAAATTACATCTGTAAGTGAATGCACTACACTCAATAAATTTCACTACAAAAAAAAATGCATTCTTTAATGTATGAACTGTGTGTCTGATCTATCAGACTGTCACAGATATTGGCCTTCTGGAAGTAACAGGCAAATTTTGAACCAAGATAAATTGCCTTCTCATGAATGAGATGATTAGATATGCAGATTAGTATGGGAGATAAAATAACAGTAACAATAGTGGGAAAATGTGATATTAATTCAGCTACATCAAAGCTGTTGATTCCACCATATTACTAGATGCAAGGAAAACACCCAGTATTGCAAAATACATTGCTTTAGTAATGACTGAAGGGAGAAATAATACGTGCTCTCGAAGCTAACATATTGGCTTCATATAACAAAGGAACAGAGAATATGACGGTTTACTTGTAGGTACTAGTTCTTGAAGAATGCATGTGGTTAATTTGTAGATAAAATTTCAAGGTTGCTTAACTACTGACAAAATTTCATTATCTCTGGTACCTTTGTATGCCCTTATGTTGGAAGAACTGTACAAACTATATTCCTATACAAGAATATCCTTGTTCATGCCTCATATCCTGTTGTGATATTATACATACTACCTTCCAATTCACTACATGATCTGTTTATAAAACATTAAGTTTTTCAGAAATACCATAGTAAATTTATTTCAGTAGCACAGTTGTCTTAATTTTCACTTACAAGCTTAATTTTGTACATAATTGTAATTATGATGTGTAGTAGTAGTAGTAGTAGCAGTAGCAGCAGCACCAGAAGACACTGCCTACACGCAGCAGCAGCGTGTAGGCAGTGTCTTCTGGGATGTACCTAGAGGTAAAAGTAACGTCCCTATGCTTACACAACTTGCCATATTCAATTCAATTCAATTTTATTTCATCCATGAATCATTATACATGATATGGGACAAGTCAAAGATTAATACTAATACTAATACTAATACTAAATAGTAATAAGAATATAATAATACAGAAATAGTATGCCAAATTATAATAAATGATAATAATAATAATAATATAGTAATACAGAGATAATATGACAGTATAATTAGTCTTGAAAACAGTTTCTGTGATCTTAAATCCTCCATATGTCCTATTGTACCTTTACTGGTGGTAATGCCTATGGAGATTTGATGGAATGAGGATTGAGGGAGCGTGAAGGCTCTGTATTTGTAACCTAACATTAGATGGTGGTGAATGAATAATTTTGTGCTATAACTGCTTAGCCCCAAGGGAAGTATGAAGTATCCTCTATCAGTATTTGCATTCCAAGAATTTCTTCAGTGATTTTGATAACTGATATGGCAAATTTGGACTAAAATCTGTCAGATCTAATTTTGATTCAGATCTTTCTGTTCATAATTGCTACTTTAATAAGAAAAGAAATTTTATTTTCATTTCATTAAACTTATATCACATTTAATATGGTAGACTCCTTGTCAGTTTTCTTATTAGATAAACTTACATTATCTTTTTAAATAAATCCATAGTCCTTTGCAGTCCTTATACCGTCCTTTAATTTCAGATCTGGTCCTGTAACCCAAGCTAATGAAGCTCACTGGATAAAAATGCCAGTTTATATTCATCTTCCCTGGATATGGGGGCCTAAGTGTTTATATCATATTTTTGTAAGTTTCAAATATCAACATCTTAATAGTCTTTTGGGTGGAGGGGGAGGGAGTATTAATACTGGTGGCAGCGGCAGCAGCAGCAGCAGTAGTAGCGCTGGTTACAGTGGTAGTTCCAGTGGTAATAGATTTCGTTGGCCCTAATTTGCTTAAAATATTCATACCTAATATTTAAAAAAAATTCAACAAAACCTGTATTTAAAAAATGCTTACAGTGATGTTATAACTGTATGTCATTTTGCTCTTGTTTCCTTATATTAACTTTTTGTAAGATTCTTTATATACCTGGAAGCAAGAAAACTTCTCCATCAAGTGTCTGTATTCTTACAGCCATCCACAGTTCACTTCCTGTTGAGTTTCTCTGGACAGCAAAGTCGGCCAGCTCTTCTATACAGTCAAAATTAATCAATCTGGACAGTTCATAAAACTGTGGTAGCGGAAGTAAGACTTTCTGTTTGTTGCAATAATCCAAAACTTCTTCTGGAGTAGACCACTGGCAAAGGAATATATTTCTTATGTCTTTAATTTAAACTGAACTAAATAGAAGGAGAAGTATAGTTTAGATATGATCATTTTTTTGTCTTCATTAGTTACTAAATTCAGTGGAATGCACTTCTTAAACTATAAACAATCTTCATGAATTACCCAGCTAAAATTATGATGTTAAACTGCCTTTATGCACTACAGTATTTTGTGATTTAAATAAATAATGTGGTAAACTGTTTTGTGTTAATACTAGTGTAACTGCTGTTAAGAATTCAGTGTGAAGTCTCATTTTCTAAATAAGCTTTTGTACTGTTAACTAAGGGGCACACGGTAGCATGGTTGAGGCACTATGCTGAAAGCCAGAAGGTAGTGTGTTCAATTCCCAAAGAGGTCATTGCAGTTTTCTTATGACCTAATTCTTCCTGCTGCACTATGGCCCTAGGGTTGATTCAGCATCTAAGATAAACGAGTACCTGGAATCTTCCTGGGAGTAAAGGGCTGCTGACACATAAGGCTGACAGCCACACCACCATCTGTGAGCCAGTTGTCTATAGAAAATGTGGGAGCCTCAACATCTCACAACCCTATGGGCCTCTATGGACTGTTACAGGGATAGCTTTATCAGTGTACCTTCTTACAACTTCTCCTGCTGTCTCCTGTATTCCTTTCCAGATCTACATGTTATTGAATAATATGCTGAAGCTTGATTGTAATGCTTTCACACAAATAACACACTGTCACTCATAAACTGTCTCCTTTGTATAGAAAACTATGCTTCATATGTGCACATCAAAATGTTATCAGTACTCATAGACCAGGCACGATACACTGAAGCAAAGGATTGCTTGCTCATTTGTGACCTACTGTCTAACATTCAGGAGTTCATTGCTACAGTAACCTGAAACTGCATAATGACAAGTGATAAATCTCGCACAGAACTATATAAGGATCACAGGATATGCATTGCAGTGTCCTTATATGTACTTCAACTTTCGAAGATTCAAACAAACCACGAACCTGTATTTTGAATAATGCAGTAACAGGGATTTTCTTTTCTATTTTTATTATTTATTTTTATTAGCAGAATTCTGCATAATAAATATTGCTAAAAGTTCAGAAAACTTTTTGAAAGAAAATGCTGATTTAACATATAAAGGCATTTACTTTTTGCAAAATATTTGTGAAGAGAGTTGGAGGGGGGGGTTGCTTCATGGCATGTAATTCATGTTACAGGTTTTTCCTGTTGTTGGGGCATTGAAAACTTCCAGCATGGATTAGATTAACAAGTAGTAAATTAACTCTGTCTGGTAAAGTACCCATGATACTCTAAGTTCCTCTCATGTCATGAGGAACTCAAAGCATAAAGTTAATAGAAAATAAAAAATTTCAGAAGCTTAGTACATAGTTGTCAAGAGCATGCACATTGGTGAAGTCTTTCGCTTCAGCAAATGTTAAACTGTAGATACAAAGAAGTGTACAGATAATTCAAAGGGTAAAGGCTTAGCACTATCATGACAAGAAATTGTGGTTTTTGTCATGTCCTGGGAAAGAATGTAGTATATAAACCATCACACTCTTATCTTATTTCATGATAACTACCATAATATTTTTTGTGTCTTCATTTCCTTTGTGCCAAAAACACATGTCCACTATTAAATTTACAGCCTCAAACTGAGAAACCGTTGCTGATCAATGTGTTCAGGTGATTCCTGATTTAAATTTTAAGAGATTTTTCATTTATTTTTTTCCTGTCATTCTAGGAAAATGTTACAGTTTCATCATAAAATAATCCAGATATGGCTCAGTACTGTAGCTGTTGTCTTGGACACAGGAAATGCCTGAAGATTGCTATCCCCTGGGATGCAATACTTCGTAATGTAATTGTTTGATTATACAGTCTACCAGCTTACATGACATCACATAAGATAGTAATCCTTACACTACCACCACAAGAATCTCAGAGCTAATACAGGAAGGACCTGGTTTGAATCTCAGCTAGACAGATACCCAGAGATTTTTCTGGTTGTCTTCAGTTGCATTCGGTAAATGTTGGCATTCTGAAACAACACACAACCACCCCCACCATATCTGTCCCAGTTTGCCGTTCATAACATCCCAACTCTTTTTATGCAATTAACAGTATCAGTAAGTGAAATAAGAAACAAGTTCCCTTCCATACCAATTCACCATTCATAATTCTCACAACTCTTCATACAACATATCCGAGAACTTAGAACAGTTCCAGTAAATAATCTGCTTCACGGGCCCTTAAGAATCTCCTTGCTTCCCCCAAATTACAAGACTGACTTTTCCATCCTAAAAGAACTTTCTGGAAAATGTGTACCTTCAATTCATCAATTTCACTGCTACTACTGAACGCAGTGGGCATCTGGTCAAGAGCAACAAGAAAGAATATTGTATTAAATCGTTTTGGTGAATCATTTGGCGTGAGCCAATTGCTCCATTCTTGTAGGGACCAAATGTCTGGAAAACATTCAAAATTCCTACAAAGACTGATAAATTCACTTGCATTTTCTTGCACTTTTTTCTGCCATTTTTGTATTTCATGTCCTGACAAATATGATGCCCATTTTGAGGGTCGAGTTAAAGAATGTGCACGTCTACTCTTGCAAAGTAGAACTCCAGATTCCTCAAATGTTTCACGTATACCAGTTATTCGCAAAGATACTGATCTTGATATTTCATCCTTTCTTTGGCTTTCAAATATATTTATTTTACTAAATTTCCTTATATCTGGTCCAGATACGTATTTTCCAAATCCATACTCATCAAATAAATCCCGCCACTCTGTCGAAGAGTCTGCAACATCTACATTTCCTCCAGGAAAAACGTAACCGTTGGGCATGAAAGAACTTTTACTACTACGTTTTAGAAGAAGGACCTTGAAATTAGGAGCACATAACCTTTCACTTTTAATCTTGTCTATGTTAACTGCATTTTTGTTCGGACTGTTCAGGACAGGAAAACCTATTCCATTCTTCGGAAATGAAATTTTTCCCACAATAATCACACTTGAAGCTTCTTTCCAAAACTTCGACATTTGTTGTAACATTTATAAAAGCACTATATAAATTAAAAAAATAATCCTCAGGACGTAAAATTCTCCGTCTTTTATTGATGGCCTGCAATTTAATTTTACGTCATTATCTCTTCAGGTTGCATTCACGATCGTTCACGATATATATTTTTTTTTTCGTTATTTACGCATGTCAGCTGTTCACTTTTAATGACCAATCATATTGAGAGATATAGTAACATTGAACCAATGAAGAGACGCCAAATATTCTGCCGGATATAGGCTAAGGTTCGTCCTAAGTTACATAAAAGTCTGAGGTGTTCGTTGTGTGAAGGTAAATATATACATGTCTTTATCTGCATGACTGACAGTATTTGAACCATAATCGTATTTGTTTAATGATATACGAAAACTAATTCCACTGGGCAAGGAGAAGTTTCTGGTTGTGAATTTGTTTAGCTTTCCCAGACTATACAAGTAGCGTAACGTAGGTAACGTCAAGTTTCGGACATTATGTGTAAGAATGATATGTGTTGAATTATTCAGACATAATTGCCCTTATGTCGTGAGCATTAATATTTAGAAGTGTTAATAGTGCATAAATGATTCAAATTGCAGTGTGTATTGGTCTTAATATTACTGTTTCAGAAATTGTCATAGGATATTAATACCAGTCAAATTGCTTTAGGTTTGTGATGGATATGATTGATATACCAGTAACTTTGATTGTGAAAGCTCCTAATCAGCAAATAGAAGATCAGACAATTCATTGTGAGTTGAACTGGACTATAAGAAAGCTTAAAGGCTATCTGTCAGAAGTTTATCCCAGTAAACCAGTAAGTTTTAATTTGGTGAATTTCAATTTTTTTAAGTCATTGTGCTAGACTACAATAAGTTTAATGTTTCTGTGATTTATTTCTTTGTTTTATACCTTTTTTAAAGCGTACAGAAGACCAGAAGTTGATATATTCTGGACAATTATTGCATGATAGTGTAACACTAAAAGATATTTTGCGTCGTTACGAAGGCCAAGAAACACACACTGTTCATCTAGTTTGCACACCCTCAAGAGACTCATTGCGACATGCAAGTACAGTTGTAACAAAAGTGCCATCAAGAATGAGTGAAAGTGGACAGATTTCTACAAATCCTGCAGTAGGTAGGTGCTTTTTATTTTTTTGGTATAGATGTAGTGACTTACGTGTGTTAATCCTTTATGGTTTATAACATTTTCGTCTTCCCAGTTATAAGAGATCATCGAGTATTATGACATGACCGCTTTAAACCGAAATAGTGGAATGTATAGATATGACAGTTGTTAGGCAATAGCTAAGCGAACACATTTCCGTAGCAACAGATACTAATGCAGCAAAATAGGAAATGGTATTTCGGTGCAGTCCATACCAGAGTTATGAGGACAAAATGAGAGTTCGTGGTTGTGAGCCTTAAGGGGCATGGTGCCAAGACAAACTGATTGGCAGTCAACCACCAGTAGGTGAAGTAACTCTTTCTGTGGCTAGCAGTCAGCCTTGAGTTGAATCGTTAGCAGCCGTTACCTAGCAAGACTAGTGAACTAACGGAGAGCATTATGTGTGTAATAGTTGTAGTGGTGTATTTACTTACTTACTCATGGAGCTGAACCCTTCTGGAGGAGCTGCAAATTCTGCAGCTACTCAAGAATTTCCCACCATTTTATGGAACCCGAAGGTTCATTACCGTGTTCACAAGAGCCCTCCACTGCTGTATAGAGTGTATAAATCAGAAATATTGTTGTAGTTATTTGTAGTTACAAGCATTCAGTAAATCCAGTTATCAATCCAAACCCTGTGTCTAGTCAATGATATGTTACAGTATTTTTAAATATAGGAATTGGAGAAGTAATGGCATACTTATTAAATTAGTATACAAGGTTTCATAAAGTTACTGTAGATCTCTCTTCATCACAGATGTGCTGCTGCTAAGCCAATTTGATGTTTGAGTAAGTAGTGTCAAGGAACAGTAAAAAACAAATGAGACAATGTATCAGCATAACAGAATGAAATACTCCATATTCATAAGTAAGCTGCTTAAGTGATAGCTGCTTTTTATTTTTATTTTCCTTTCCCATACTCCACCTTGGATCTTGGACAGATAGATACACTTGCTGTTACAAGCGTTGTATGTGAATTCCCTCATTGTAGTTAATAATAAATATAAATATTCAGATATAACTTAGTAAAATACAGGAATCTGCAACAGTCTCGGGAATTAGAGGAATAAGTAAATCATTGTGGCATATTTGTCCAGCGGGTACCAGGGTCTCTTTCGCTGGGAGTAAAGTCACAAAGGCATGAAACTGGCTATCCACCCTATCTAGTGCCATAGTTAAGAGTGTGTGTAGAGCTATCCTCCCATTCCATTTTATGTATTCTTAGCTTGGTACTTGATTAAGCACAGGGAACTCTTTACCTTGCCATACGATATATCTGAGTGATGGAAATCGTGAGACAAATAATATATTTGCTATTCTAAAGATTTATTTCTAGTGACATATTTCATGAAATTTGTTATAAGTCAGATTTTTTTCATATATCTTCTTGACGTAATAATAATATAGAAATTTTCATGAAAAGAAATATATACAAAATTAACTTTAACTTTTATTTCCTTATTCCATTACATCTATAGTAGGCAAAAGCCTTAGATACAGAATTGTGTCAATTTATCTCGCTAATACTCATAAGCAGTTGTCAAGAAGACTTATAAAATAAGACAATGCATGTTTATATCATAATACAATTTGTCTCTAGCATAATGCATTCAAATATATCGTTGATTAAAATTTAAGATAAAAGTTTTCATCAAAAGTAACAGCATATCTTATACATATATAACAAATCCAAGATATAAAAACATTACATTTATAAAATTACAAAATTAAAATTTCATGATGACTACATATCATTTGTCCCTAGTCCAATAAAACATACAATCAGGCCTCGTACAGACAGTCCAGGTTGTCAGGATAACACATACGGGTCGCGGGAAAACCACTGTCAAATTCACAACTTGCCATTCCACATACTGGTAGGCCATATCATCCAAATAGTTAGATTAGAAAACATTAGTTGTATAATCATTATCTCTTAAAATATTCATCAAGTGTATAAAAAGAGTTTAAATACAGAAATTCCTTCAAATTGTTTTTAAACTTATTTATATCATTAGAAATTACTTTAATTTTATTAGGTAGTGCACTGTAAATCCTTATGGCCGTGTGAGTAACAGTATAGAGTATAATACTCTTCCAAAATCAACTAAGATTAGTGTAGGAAGCTAAAATTTGTGTGGTGTCATTATTTCAAACATCCTGTGCTGATCCCCACTGGTCACTAGAAAACCTGTGTGATAAATAATCCAAAAGTCCAGCTATCTTCCTTTACTAACAAACAGCCATATACAGTCATCTGAGAATATTTTGAAACTTAAGTGGAACACATAGCATAGTATGTTGAGGCATTATGCTACAGGGTGGAAGGTCGTGGGATCGGTTCCTGATGAGTTTGTTAGATTTTTCAATTGACCAAAATCTTGTAGCCACAATATGTCCCTGGGGTCATGTCAGCTTCTAACAGAAATGAGTACCAGGAGTCTTCCTGATGGTAAAGGGCAGCTGTCACATAGGGTTGACGGTTTCATCGCCATCTGTGAGCTGATTGTTTAGAAAATGTGGGAGCCTCGAGAGATATCTCACAACACTGTAGGCCTCCACGGCCTGTTACAGGGATATCTTTGTCCTTTTTTTTAAGTACTGGTATTTGAGAACAGTATTAACAAAAAGACATGAAATTAGGAAAAATATTAGTTCTGAAAATTGCTTTTTTTATTCTGTTCAAAATCTATTATCCTGTCCAAAATGTTGACTATTGGGACAAACAAAACAATATTGCTTTTTTTTTTATTGCTTGTGGGGTGGGATTAAGTTCCTTATACTGCAGCCACTTCTGCCCTGTTGTATCAGCCCCAGATGATAGGTGAGGGTGATTGTGGAGCAATTGGTGGAATGAAGATTGGCAGGGGAAACCGAAGTACTTGGAGAAGACCTGCCCCAGTGCCACTTTGTCCACCACACATCCCACTTGACCAGACCCAGGATCGAAACCGGGCCACCGTGGTGGGAAAACAAAACAATAACTTTGTCATTTGTTTTTATAGGTGTAAAGTGTGATCCCTTACTTCAAGGGAAGTACATAAATTATGTGTGGTTAAAAACAAAGTGCACTGGGAAATGTTTTGACCTAAGAAGGATGAATAAGTGAGGAGTTTTGGATATTACATAATTGGGAATTTTGTGTTGTATGCAGGTTACATAATTTTGTTTAAGATGGTGTCGTTTAGTAGCCTGGTTTTGCAGCTAGAAAGGGGTAGACAAGGGATGAAAACTAAGTTTTGCTGTAGAAACCTCCCAGAAACGTCTTCTTGAAAGGTGTAGATGATGGTGGAAGTACAATAGAATGAGATAAATTGTGAGGAGGATGGAAGTAGCTCAGGTTTAATTCCAGGGACATGATATGCTGTTAGCAGTGCTAAACCTTCAGTTTGCCTTGATTCATTCAGTTTCCCTCAATTTATTTCTAGATAATTTGTTTCAGACAAACACATGTTCACCTACTACAAAACAACCATCAAATTGCAATGCTGGAGACTTAATATTTTTATCATGAACATTATCTTTTTTTTCGTTTGCATGGGAACACGTGTATTACATCAGTATTTAACTTACAGTATTGTGATATTTGCAGAAAATGTACGAAACCAAGAAACAGAGGTTCCATCAGATGGACTGAGGCAACGTCTAACTGCATCACAACCTTCAGAGGCTCAGCAGTCATCATCACAGCCTTACAGTAGTACAGCAAATGGCCAGTTTCCTCCCATAGACCCCAGAACATTCTGGGCTGGTGCTATGACTGATCCATATGCTACTACTCCAGGATATGACCCAAACAGTATGTCACAACAGCTGTTATGGATGCAGCAGGCATATGCCCAATATGTTACACAGTATATGCAACTGTAAGTTCATTTGTATATTTCATCATGAAGGGCTTCTTTATTGATCAGATCTCACTTTCTGTAGAAAATTAAGATTGCTCTTTTCTGTGATGTTACACCATGCAGTTTTATGGATAGGTGCCAGCATCTCAGAGGAACCTTTTACCTCCATCTTTAGGATATAAATTGAAGACCGGTTTCCTCTGAAGTGCCGGTACCTGTCTACAGACACCTCAGTGTCAGTATTCCCCAGCTGGTATATTTGTCAGTCTCTGCCTCATATTTTTGAAAACCTTAGGATTTTTTAATATAATAAATTCTTGTTTTGTAAGGTAATGTCTGACGGTAACAGTTACAATCGGCAACAGATCCTCATTTTTATGAATAAGGGTAACTGTAATCTTGTTAAAATTGTGTACTTTATCTCATCTCTTTTTAAGAATACATAGGATTCATTTCCTAAGAGTACTTGATAATGTACTCTTAGAGTGTGTTTAAAAATATTTTTGGTCCATAAGGAGCCATCACTGTCACTGCATTGCTGGTAAATGAAATTGATTATAATTTAGCTTTTAAATATAACAGACAATTCAACTTCAGTAATACAAGAGTTTATAAAATTCTAAAAAATACTTGTTCTAATGGAAGCTTGTAATGTCCAGAAATGGTTGAAATATGTAGCAAGTCCATCCTCTAGCTTGCAGTTATGTATAATACAGTATGACACTAAGGCTTGAATGAGAGTTCAGTTGCCGCAATATTTCTTCTTCTTTAGAGTGGTTTTCACGGCATTGTGATATAACAAAGAGTAATTCAACATTTTCATTACCATTAGGACTGTCTGAACCAAAGAGTAATTATTTCTTAAATTTACATAACCTTTTCTACTCACAAATGACTGCTAATTAAGTGTCGTGCTTTACTAGAAAAAGTCTTTGGTGCATGTTGTCAAGTCGCAGCATCTGCATGCTTGTGGGAATAAGCTGGTCCACTTTTATCAAAATGGAGTAACAGACCAACACAGGATGCAGTTTAAATCTCACTAATATTTGAATGTACATGCAATACTTTAAGGGTTGTCCTGAATGCCACAGTTAGAATACACATAAGTGCTTAATTTCACTAGTGTTGCATTAAAATATACACAACTTCCTTTGCAAATATGGCAAAGTTCAGATATTTTGGAACAGCAGCAACAAATCAAAATTTGATTCATGAGAAAATTAAGAGCAGATTAAAATCAGATAATTCTTGCTACCATTCAGTTCAAAAACTTTGGTCTTCTTTTCTGATACCTAAAAATGTAAAAATGAAAATATACAAAACTATTAATATTTCTCTTGTTTTGTATGGTTGTGACTGCATCTGTGGTCTAGTGGACAGAGTTCCTGGTTACAGATCCAGAGGTCCATGTTCGATTCCCCACTCTACCAGATTTTTTTCTGAGAAGCAGTGGGTCTGGAACAGGGTGCACTCAGCCTTGTGATGATAATGAGAAGCTATTTCAAGGAAATAGTGGCTCTGGTCTATAAAACCGAAATTAACAGTCATGGGGATTCATTGCGCTGACCACGTGGTACCCTCTATATGCTAAAGTTGGCACTAAATTCACTGACCAGCAGCAGTCGCTCAGTCAGTATGGTTGTGAATCATGGCCCCTGACTTTAAGGTAATAACATATACTGAGGGTGTTTTAGAACAGGGTACTGAGTAGATTATTTGGACCAAAGAGGGATGAAATAGTAGGAGGTTGGAAGGAATTGCATAACTTGTAGCCTTCGCCAAATATAATGAGAATGATCAAGTCAAGGAGGATAAGGTGGTGGGCAGCATGTGTAGCGTAAGTGGGTGAGAAGAGGAATGCGTATACGGTTTTGGAGGAAAATCCCAGAGGAAGGAGCCCACTGGGAAGACCTTGATACAGCTGGGAGGTTAGTATTAAATTTGATCTTTGAGAGATAGGATGGAGTCAGAAGGACTAGATTGATCTGGCTCAAGATTGGTGCCTATGGCAGGCTCTTTTGAACATATTAATGAACCTTTAAGTTCCATAAAATGTTGGGAAATCCTTTAATTAGCTGAGCAGCTGGTGGCTTCTCAAGGACTCGGTCAGTCAGTTTGGTTGGTCAAATGTGGGAGGGTATGTGTAGTGTTTGTACACCGTTATTTTACGTTTTCAGGATGACTTCAGGTGGGCTTACTCAGAGTTGGTACCCCTCTGGTCAAACTACCATTCCTGTATCAGCACCCCAACATGCTCCTGAACACACACAGGCACCTCCAGTCAATCCTCGGGAACAGGCAGCTGTTCAGCCAAACAACAATATCAATGTTGCAGGTATGACCAGCTTTACAAGTTCTTGCTGAGCCTGAGAATATATACAACAGAATGTGAGCTGCATGTGTGTCAGTAGTAAGAATAAGACATGGCACGTGAATGTGTATTCCTCCTCCCCTCACAGTTAATGCTAGAAGTACCAAGATCATATAGCTTGATGATATAAAAATATGTGAAATATCAGTTGGACTGAGCCATTATATCTGCCATCATGAAATCATATCACACTAGCTGCTTATTTTGTTAAATGATTGTTATATAAAATATGCTTAGACACAACTTGTAGTATGTTTTATAGATTGTGGCGAGCCAGATCTTTGTGATTTTATATGTGAAAATATTTTATGCTAGAAAGAGGTGGAACATTTTCATACTTTTCTTCAGATGAAAACAAGTGATGACAATTGTTAGAATGAATGCAGTCATGTCAGTGAGAACAATATTTATAACCTTTTTGGATTGCATAGGTTGATAATTGTGTTAATACTGTGATGATTGTTGCAGATGGCATAGAAGAAGAAGAGGAAGGAAGGGGCAATAGAGATTGGCTGGACTGGTTCTATACCATGAGTAGAGTCATGGTACTCTTCAGCATAGTGTATTTCTACTCGTCACCAGCTCGATTCATCATAGTGTCTGCACTTGGACTCACATTATACCTGTGAGTTTGGACCGTGAATTTTAGCTGCTCAAAATGTAGCTTATTTATGTAAAATTGAAGCACATGCATAACCAAAAATTAAAATGTTATACAACGTGCACATGGTAGCATAGTTAGTTGAGGCACTATGCTACAAGCCGGAACATTGCGGGCTCTATTCCCTGTGAGATCATTGAATATTTCAGTTGTCCAAATCCTTCCACCCACACTGTGGCCCTTGGGTCAAATCAGTCTCTAACAAAAATGAGTACCAGGAATATTCCTAGGGGTAAAGGATGGCTGGCGCATAGGGCTGACAGCCTCACCACCATCACTGAGCTGATTGTCTAGAAAATATGGGAGCCTCAACATATTACAACACTGTGGGCCTGCACAGCCTGTTACAGGGATAGTTTAACCCCCCCATTCCCCTTCCCCTTCCCCCAGTCATACTTCAGCTGTAAGTATTGGCTGAAATATATTTTTTCCTCTTAGAGAAGTAAGAAGATAGAATCTGTAATAGTGAATACTTTGATACACTGTGCATATTCATGTATTGCTAAGAATGGAAATGATCAAATGAATCAAGGAAGCACAGAAAATGCCTCATAAGACTAAAGTATAGTGCCACAGAGGTGCCTAGGGGCATGGACCTTCATATTTTTTGGAAGAAGTGATTAACCTTATGTGCAGGCTACTTCATCACCAGGCAAGGAGCTCCCTGTGTCAGCTGGCAGTTAGAAGAGAGAGTTGAGTGAACATATCTTGCTTGATGTGGTAATAGAGAAACAAACCCCCTCATTCACATAAAACACAATTATTACAGTATATATATAATTAATTATACCATATGTACTGTGTAGATAAACATTTGTCTGATAAATTTCCTATCCAGAATGGTCTAAAACAAGGAGATGCTTTATCGCCACTCCTTTTCAACTTTGCTTTAGAATATGCCATTAAGAAGGTCCAGGGAAACCAGGTGGGACTGAAATTAAACAGGACAAATCAGCTGTTGGCCTATGCTGATGTGAATCTACTGGGTGATAATGTAGATACCAAAAAAAAAACACACACACACACACACACACACACAAACTTTAATTGACAGAAGTGAAGAGGTTGGTCTAGAAGTAAACACTGAGAAAACTAAGTATATATTGCTGTCCCATCACCAGAATGCAGGGCAGAATCATGATATAAAGATAGGAAACAGATGTTTTGAAAATGTGGCACAATTCAAATATTTGGGAACAACAATAACAGATTGAAACCTGATTCAGGATGAAATTAAGAGGAGATTGAAATCGTGTAATACCATTCAGTCCAGAACCTTTTGTCTTCTCATCTGCTATCCAAAAACATAAAAATTAGAATATACAAAACTATAATTTTGCCTGTGGTTCTGTATGGGTCTCTGACATGAAGGGAGGAACATAGACTGAAGGCGTTTGAGAACAGGGTGTTGAGGAGAATATTTGGACCAAAGAGAGATGAAGTTACAGGAGGTTGGAGAAAACTGCATAATGAGGAGCTTCACAACTTGTACTTTTCTCCAAGTATAATTAGAATGATCAAGTCAAGGAGGATGAGGTGGGTAGGGCATGTAGCACGAATGGGGGAGATGAGGAATGCATATAGGATATTGGTGGGAAATCCAGAAGGAAAGAGACCACCGGGAAGACCAAGGCATAGGTTGGAGGACAATATTAGAATGGATCTTAGAGAGATAGGATGGGATGGTATGGACTGGATAGATCTGGCTCAGGACAGGGACCAGTGGAGGGCTCTTGTGAACATGGTAATGAACCTTCGGGTTCCATAAAATGCTGGGAAATTCTTGAGTAGCTGCAGAGTTGGCGGCTCCTCAAGAAGGGCTCAGCTCCATGAGTAAGTAAGTAAGTATATTATGTTTATGTAGTCGAGTCATAATACCTTCACGTATTTTACAACATGTACAAATGCACAATTTTTTAACAATAACGTTGGCATTGTTATGTTTAATACCTTGACAAAATAGCCCCTGGTCCCAAATAGTATCCTGTTAAAATGCATCCTGATGGTTTTGTGTTGGATTTAAAATTAATTATTATTCTTATTACTGTGGTCATAGAATCTAGTTTCCGAGATCTCCCCCTCCAATACTTGGCTGCTTAGCAACTTTTAACATTTACATGGGCTCTGCAAGTTAAATTAAATGTTATGTTAATTTGTGCACCTCAGGTATCAGCTGGGCTTCTTCCGAGCCCAGCAGCTGCAGGCAGCAAGGATAGTTGCAGAAAACAACAATGAGGCTGTTGATGAAAGAGGTGTGGTGGAGAACAACAACCTCCAAAACCAGAATGAAGGAATGGGAGCAAGAGCTGAGGTGCAAGGCCAGCAAAGACTCCCAAGAGAGGAGGGTAGTGGGGCAGAGGAGCCAGACCCAGAGCCAGACAGACCATCTGTGTTTGCCATTACCTGGACAATTTTTACAAGCTTCTTTGCATCTCTCATTCCTGAGCAACCTGGAGCTCTCTAGAGCCTTTTCTTCCATTGTATCCTTTGTTTACATTAGGCCATCTCAGGAGTTCCACAAAATATTCTATAAAGTTTGCAGGATTTGCTTCTCTTTTGTATGTAGCTTTCTCTCAGAAATAATATTTCCAGACATGAGAGAAGTATTAGTGTTTCATTTATTTTTTTACATCTGTATTTTTGTTCTTGAGGAATAGAAGCGCTTTTAGCTACTCGTACTTTTTTTTTATTTTTTGTTGTTTTATGGAGGATCATGATATTTATAGAGCAAGTGATTTTCAGATGGCAGTGTTTTTTTGGATAACATATTAATGTTAAGTACATCATCTACTTAGTGTTTACTGTTGTACAGCCTTCCCATTAAAGTAATATTTCAGGTTTCTTATAGTACTCAGAATACACTGTCCAGTCTGCTGCTTGCTTTTGTATCAAGACTTTCTCCAAGATTATAAGCATTAATCACTTTCATTTTGGTTTTGATATTTGATAACCAAATTATGATTCAACAGTGTAGTTCATAACATTTTTAATTGTGACTGGAATATCATAAGTGGTTTTAAAATGAAAAAAAATATGCAGGTGGGCCATTTAGTTTAGCTAAGTTATACATTTTTCATTTTTGTTTCTTGTTATCTCACCAGTTAATCATCTTCACAAGAATTTCATAAATTTATTTATCTCAACTGATACTGTTTCACGTAAGTTAAATGTGAAGTTATCAACAGTAAATTGTTCATTTGTTTTTCACTTTTTCCTCTTAGTTTACAGAAAGCATTTGTTGAAACACTACGGATTTTCTTGCACTATTATTCAGAGTATTTGTTTCTTCCCATCTTGTTCTTTTCTCTGTATTTAATATTCATGTATAAGTGTATAATATTACATATGTTACATTTGTAGATTTCATGTAAATGTTACACTTTTAACTACTGTAGATCTTGATGATCTAGCTCTTTGACTTGTATTTTAGTAATACATGGATTGCTTAAAAACACCAAACATCTTAGTACATTACATCCTGTATTACAGTAATGTCGCATCGTACAAACACTCATAGGTACCAAGTGTAGGATATTGTAAAATAGTATATTTGAGCATATGTTACACAATTCCATCCATAAATGGATATAGTAAACAGAGTTTCCCAATCGTTGAACTGCAAAATGACATGGTTTGTGTTTCTCTTGCCAGTGACCTGAGAAACTGGACACAATTACCCCCCAAGCTAAGCATACAGATGGGCTGTGGGATTTCAAATAGTGGGTTTGTTTCAAGCCTATTGTGAAGGAATTATTATTTCTGCAATATTGAACATTGACTCCAAGATATCAAAATGCCCTTTTTTCAACTGCTTTACTTTGGTATGACAGCTAATAGATGCTACCCATATGGACAGTTTTTTTTTAATCCATACACATATGTGTATGTGCATAGTACATCTGAGGTTCCAGTGGATTCTAGTATTCATGTACAGGGATCATCACAATGGCCCAAGGGATTAATATGTGTCATCTTAAAGTATGAGGGAATATGAGACTAAGAATGCTCTGAGGAGAATTTGATTCTTACTTTCTCAAGGATTGTGAGTACTGATATATGCATGGTGTATTTATTAAAGTTTTAAAACAGAACTTGAAATTGTAATAACTATTATATTCAGCCCTACTGATAGTTCATTAAAAAGGCCATCGTACCCTGTCTAGATAATTATGCGTTGTCTCCATAGCCATGCATCAAGAATAAAACTAATCAGACACAGAGGTATTCATTTCTTGTTATATATTGAAGGTGAATATAATTACAGTGTGCACCAGTATCGTTTCCATTTCATATCGGCTGTGACCGCCTTGATGTTAACAAACAGAACTTCAAAATCAAACTTGATTTCCATACTGGCATTCATAAACATGCAGAATTGTTTATATAAAATGTATAGCTGCTATGGATTCAGTTTGTAAAATTGTATACAATTCTGATAGCATATATTTTTCTCCCCCATAAAAGGATTAATATACAAAAATGCATTTTGTCATATAAAGTACCAGGATTCCACAAGAAATTAAGCTTCCCTTTCCAAAGTCTTGAAGGGAAAGGAGCCATCTGCATCCCTTCCCACTTGAGGTTAAAACCAGTATATGAAAATTGATCATAATTATTAGCGATGTACTCCACCGACTTGCTGCAAAGTACTTTCACTGGTATCTCGTAGGTGCCACGTGTAGCCTACACAGTCTGCTAAATCACGAATGGCAGCAGAACCACTTCAAAGATTCTTCTTGTTTTGCATAAAAGTGCTTGCTGTGTCCATAGCCTAAGAGTTTGAAAGCATATAGGCATGCATGTTGGTGCAAATGAATTAAGAAATATGGCACACAGATTTCTCTCCTGCGCATGATTTCACTACCAGATTTTGTGAATTTTAGACAAGTTTCGAACTTAATGGGAAGACATAGATCAAAAATGGATTCAGTGCACTTGTCATATATAATGCTTGCTCTTTCAGTCTGGTCTACTGGAAGGAAACAATCATGAATGCATGAAATTATCTCCATTCTGCCTTCATGGTATGGTGCATAGGCACACCAACTTAATTCAGACTATGATCATGTTATTGGTATTGTCATGTATAAGGGGTTGTGTGACTAATAATTGTGGGTTCTAGATTTGATTATTGGATTTATTGGATGTCTCTGTTATGACGACACTTGATTATAACAGTTCCCACATTGAACTCCTGGGTAACGAATCTCTCACTGTATTTCTTCTGGATCTTGGACTGATCTGTAGCCACTAGTCTTCTGCTACTCAGTACAACTCATTCCTGCGAATCAGTTACCTATTCTTTCATGACCTGGTGCGGACCACAGACAGAACACCTCTGTTGTTCTGCATATCAGTTGCCTTGGTAATTTGTTGATGCAGAAACAGTGTTTACCTAAGCATCATCTAGCAACAGATGTCTCTGTTGTGCTTCTCTAACTACACACTTCCGGCTCTCAGGTGTCATGTCACAGTATTTTTAAGAGATCGTTATAAAACTGCATACATAGTTTTTATATGTTGTCATGTAAAACATTTTTATTTCAATACATTATGATTGAGGTACAGATTGTGTTAGTTTGTTAGCACCACTGTTTATCGTGTGCAGTTTTAATATGGTTGGGAACCCTGTTCTGTTATAAAGTTTATGAAAAATCTAGGGAAAAGAAACCTCAGGAATTTCATTATAGAAATTGAGACTTTAGGGCAGCAGTGAAAGTAAACTGGTTTAGGAAGACTTAAGAAATAAATTAATTTGAAATCGATAAGTAGAAGATGTGTAGTGTTTGAATGTGATTATTCACTCTGGAACTGGTGTATGTATATCCCCTCATAAATATAATCCATGTATCATTTGTTCCTAAATGAAATGAAAGAAATTTCTCTATTATGAAAGCCAAGAAGGGTATTAAAGGCTGCATGGTACAATTGTCTGGACATGCTGGACATTGTCAGCCATGAAAATGGAATTAAATATGTGTTTATATTGTGTAAGTTAAGTTCCAAGACTAGCTTAATACAGTGGTAGTATTTTGTGAGAGCAGTAGAAACTTTGAATGACACAAAAAGTAGACAGGCTCAGTGTAGGTCAACTTTCAGCAAGAAGCTGATTACCTCTGAAGAAGATGAAATGGAAAGTTTCTTTTTAGCTCTGCAAACAGATACTTTCATGTTAAACCATAGACCTTCGTAGTAGCTCTTCACTGACATTAATAATGTCATTCTGTTTTATTCATGGAAAATAGCTGTGTAGTAATACTGTTTATAGTGAATTTGTTTTGTTTATATAAGATGAAAGTTCCGGTGTTCTTCATGAAAGTGGTGAGTTGTACCTTTTGATAATTATTTGTAATAAGTAATTAGCTATTGGTATTAATGTACAATTAAACACTAAGGACTGTAATGAAGTATGTGTATATAACACTATATAATAAATGCAATTTAAAGTTGTTTGATGTGGAGAATTGTAGTTTATAGATCTGAAAATATTTCCCATTGTGTACATTTTATATCATTTTCATCTGATATATATTGAGCCTACTTTTTGACATTGTCACTGCAGTCCATAATTTGGTGCTTCATCCTATCCAGATATGGATTAAATGTGAATGTGATGTGTAACCTTTATGTTAATGTATTTAGAAAAGTTAGTCAAATATAGATGTATAAAGAAATTGCATAATATTTGGACTTTCTTGTACAGACTGATATTGATTCCTGACCTTACCCTAATTCAACCACTCATGTCACACCTGTAAAATTGTGAGAGGTTACCACATAAGAAGGAAGGTGAACAGATATTCAGATTCTCATAACTGTTCTTTGAATTTCTGTGATCTTTGCTCTGATATGTATAATTTCATCTTTATAATCCCATTAATATTCATATTTTACCAGGATTTACCTATGTTAGCTTGTAAGATATGCTAATGTATTCAGTGTCAAAGAATAAAAATGTGAGTGGACATGAGTTTATGTAACTTTTAGCCTGATTTACAAACTGAACCTATGGAGGACAAGTTTTGAAATCATTAATATTTTTATAACAAGAATCAAGGTTCTTCATGAGTTTTACGCGTATTATTGTCGACAAAAATGTTATCAAGAAAGAAGTACATTTTTCTTCCATCTGAATGTTTTTATGAATGTTGTGCTGTTTCTATCATTCCTTGAGGTTTAATAAGCATAAAATTGTCTCTCAAATTTTCCTTCCAAACCAGTCATACATGAAATATTATGAGATGACAATATGTAGAATAGAAACTGACATGACAGCAGAAGCTAGACATCTCTGGACATCCATATTTATGCCCATATGCCTGCCTAGCTTTTACATATAGTGATTTTTAATTACATTGTTCAGTTCATGGATTCCCATGTGGTGCTGCAGAGCATATGTTGCCAATATTCATGTCACTTATTGAAGAATAACAAATTGTCTTCTTATCTTTACAGATTAGACAACTTACTGCCTATATCAATGTCAAAATCCTCTTTTCAATGACTCCATCTTTCTCAGAACTATTAACAGTGGTAGTATAACCAAACATTTATAGCCAATATGTATTATCTAATTATCTTTGCTCTTCATTCATCAATTAATTGCTGAAAATCAGTGTTCTGTAAAGTACCTTTCTTGTACTTGCATCATCATCGAACTTCTTTCTCCTGCTCTACTTCTATAATCATTTTAAGTTTGGAATTACGCCTTCCAAGAAGTATAATGGACTCTATTGGCAGTGGATGATACAAGTTACTGAGATGACAGATATTATCCATCTCTGATTGTTAATGACTGTTTTAAAAAGTTAATAATGTTGAAAAATATGTGCTCATATGAAAGTTGTGTAAAGAAACAGTTTTTGAATTATTTGTCTTTCATATCTTCCATAGATTCCACTAGCCTTACTGTTGTTCTTCCAACATTTTTGTAAGGCAGCACCACCACAACTAGAATTGTCTCCTCATTTTCTGTTGGATTCTTCAACATCCCAGATACAACACATAGTATTCCGTCAAGAGGATGGGCAGAAGAACAGAGAACTCTTTGAGCAGAAATATGGACGACGAGGTGAAAAGCTTATCGCTGCACTTGGGTCTGGACTGCCTGGTGTTCTTGACTATCATATTCAGGAAAAGCAGCGACCACTAGTACGTTACTTATGTCAGTGTTTATTATTTAATTACCATGTTTTTATTGGCACTAATAAAAGTTGCAGGTTCTGTGATGCACCTTACATAAACAGGTTGAAACAAAAATTGCACACATGCCCTCCATTGTGCAAGTCAAAAATATTGTACAACATATGTCCTGTGGCTTTTAGTTTTCAAGATACCTGTTACCATCAAATGGCACAAGCTATCAAATGATCAAACCTTGGGTGCCTGGTAGTTATAATAGGTGTTCAAACAGCCATGATCCAAGTCAAGGCATACATCAGTGCATAACAGGGAATTCTCAAACGTAACATGTTGGCATCAACCATTGTTACAGCTGCTTGAAGTCTATCCACAAGATCTTTGATAGTCCTGGAAGGGACTGCATAAATATTTCTTCAAGTGTCCTGGCAGGGAAAAATCTATCAGAGTTATACATGTCAGCAGACAAGGCCAAGCAAATGGGCCCTCAGTATCCTTTCACATACTTTCACCCATATCAGCCCATGTTTTTTAACTTTGAACTGTGTTATTTCTGTTTTCTTTGACACTGCTATTCTAATTTAATAAAGAAATATTTATAATGAATTAAAGATTCTGAGTTCATAAGTACTGAATATCACTAATATTGGATTTGTACACTAAAAGCAAAAATTATTAATGTGTTTACTCTGTAAACAGTGAAGTGCCAGTTCATAGATGAAGCCCCCAACATAGAGACCAAGAATGTGATAATGTTGCCTGGTAATGGTTACCTTACACTTCAGGGCAGTGATAATTAGGTATAGAGCAATAATGGAATAATAGTTGCCGAAGTCTGAAAAAACCTCAGAGGAAAGCCTGCTTCAGTGTTGCTTCATCATGATGAATCTCTGACAGAGTTGCCCATGATTAAGCCTGAAGTTCTGCAGTGAGAAATCATAATTTTATTGCCTGATCTATCTCATGGCCTTATGCACTGGTAATATCCTCTATTTTCTTATTGGAATATGAACACACATACAATCATGACTCAGAAGAACAGCAGTTACTTTGTTAGCATGCTCATATATTCTTTTTTCTCTTAGGAAAATCCTTTTTTCATGGGGTAAAAATGTAAAGTAAAGCTATCCCTGTACCAGGCCGTGAAGGCCCATAGGGTTGTGAGACGTTGAGGGTCCCACATTATCTAGACAGTCGGCTCAAGGATGGTAGTGAGGTCAGCCTTATGCACCGGCCGCGCTTTACTCCCCAGGAAAATTATTTAATTAATTCCTGGTACTCATTTCTGTTAGAGGCTGAGTCGACCCCAGGGCCATAGTGCGGCTGGAAGGATTAGGTCAGTTGTGCTGTGGTAAATAAATGCTCCCACCCTTCTTTCCTCCCTCCCTCCCCCAGTCTTTATATCAGTACTGGCAGTTGTTTGTGGTTGAAGAAGGATGGATTTCATTCGATAATTTTTTTAAGATTCTGGGAACAGATATTTCATATATGCTTTCTTTTGCAGGAGCACATCAAGAATGAAAAATCAACTACAGTCACCGAAGCTTTGGCAACAACATCAATACCTGAAATGAATAGCACTGATGCAGTGTAATATATGTAAACTATTGTAAGAACCATGTAACCTACATAGTGCCAGCTATGTAGAGACTCGTGTATGGTATGTGTTCTGGCCATGGTTGGTACTGAGGTGTGGTTCTAATATTTCAGTGTACATTGTTCATAATAATACATGAACTGCAATTTTAATCTTTGAACACCCTCTTCAATTAACTGCTGGTGTGACATATTATTATGTGCAAATGATATTGTGAGTCTTATTGAATCTTATATGAATAAAGAACATATGAACATTACTGTTAGTTGATCTCTATACATATCTGTTCATCTACCAACCATTTATTGCTTTCTTGAACTCTTTAACTGTCACACTGTGATTGAATCCAGGCCGTATCATCACTTTATGGAATACCTAACTGAACTTTTGACTTTATGTTGTTGAATACACCCAATAAAATTATTGTTTCAGAGAAAGTAAACAAATACTGAAATAATTTAGGTATGCCACTGCATACCAGTGGCCTTATGCTTTGAAATGTGCAGGTCTTAGACTAAGTGATGACTGGAATTGTGTGCAAGATGCTGAATACTCTGCACTTCTGCAATAATGACTTAATAGCAGAGCAAGGAAAGAGTGGAATCTGGGGGGTGGGGGGCGCAAGAGTAGGATAACCAAGCTATCTGTCTGGCATGGAGAAACAAGGGTACTTAAAGGTACTGCAAGATGTATAAAGGTAAGGATGTGCTGAACTTAAAAAAAAATTAATTTGAAATCATTAAGCCAATGTTGTTAATGAGTTAACTAACATTAAGATTATTCCTATTCACTGGGATGTGATGTCCTCTAGTTTGGTTGAAACTAATACTGCGAAGATACTAGCACTGGGTTCTTCTGAAACATTTCTATCCATACTACAATGAAACCCCCATTTAATGTTTTTCAGTTTAAAGTTTTTGTCATTTAGTGTTGAAATATAATGATCCCAAGTCAATAAATTCAGTGTTAAATTGGCTCCATTTAAGATTTTACTCAATTTTTTGTTCAAGTCCAGCGGTTCCAAAGCAAACCTTGAGTAAGGGTTTTACTAGGCCGTGCCATAGCTTAAGCGGTCAGTCACTGGCTTCCCACCGTGGCGGCCCAGGTTCGATCCCGTGTCTGGTCAAGTGGGATTTGTGGTGACCAAAGTGGTGCTGGGACGGGTTTTCTCCGAGTACTTCAGTTTCTCCTGCCAATCTTCATTCCACCAAATTCTCCATCATCATAATCACCTGGGGTGGGCTACAATAGACCAATTGGTGGCCTCCGTGCCAAGTGGACCCAGTTGGACTCCCCCCCCCCACTAAAGGAATTAAAAAAAAAAGGTTTTACTGTATATGGTGCCTCATTAGTATAAGTTGGTAATCTTTACAGTCACGACAGTGTGAATGTCAAGTTTTGACATCAAATGTTGGTTTTTATTTGTATACTAGTGTATAAAAGCAACATACATTTTCAAAGCTATAATTGTGATTTTCTTGTCCTTAAAGGGGGAGTAATTTTGAAATGTCTTGAATGAAACAGATACCAAATACTGGAACCATGGAGACTAAGTGTTCTTCTTCCATTAGTGTTTCTAAGTGTCCACTGTTTTGGCAAATGTGCTCTCTTTTACAATAAAATTTATTATTGCAGCTCTGAATGTTAAAGATTTTTATAGCAGTACCACAAACAAAAAATCTTATTAGCACAACCTAATTCACATTTCTGGCTTGACAAAGACCTAGGAGGGGGAAGGTGGGCAGGCACATGTACATGTCCCTTTAAACAGTGTCCTGAAATAATTTCAGGACTCATGCCACCTTTAAAGTATCACACAGTGTAAGGCATATACATAAACACAAGGATACATCTTACTCAGACGCTGGACAATTGCTCCACAGACTGTTGCACTTGTGGCACTTTTGACATCTCACTGCATGGACGCAAAAGGTTTCCCCAAAATGTCTTCACCCGCTTACCAGACTACTCAACATCATATCCATGAAAATCATGACTCTGATACTGCAGCAACAACCTCAATGTTCAGTATATAATATTTTTTCAGTTGATGTATAACCTCAGCTGCCCTACTTGTATACAATTTTTTTTTAATTTTAGGGAAAAAATTATTGTAAATACAAAAAAGGCCTAGCCAATGCCTAGCACATTCTTATAAATATCTTATTCTGTAATAGCGGTCATCCCTGCAATCTTTGTATACAAGCAGTTTAAACCATTTTGCTTCCTTCTGCAATGTTCAGGGATAAGGTAACATTCCTTATATGAAATAAAACTTGACTACACTTATTTCATAAAACAAATTTATTTATTTTTGGAAGTCTTGGAAGAGGAAACAAATTCATTCTCTTGCAGCAGTAGTGTTCTTTAAGATATATACTATTATCTAGAGTATCTACCAGTCACTAAATATATGATCTACCAAGACTGGATGTTAGAATTTTATTTTACTTGCCTTGATCTCTTTTTTTCAAATTATGCCTGTTAATCAAGATATTATGTTTTTACTTCATATTATTGTATATGTTAATTGATTGATGTGGGTGATCTTCATTATGTGACTTTATGTATGTATTTAATATAACTATTTCCACATCCTGGGTCTGTTACCTGTATGGATATTTATGGATTCATGTATCCAGGCAATGGAAAAAAGCCAATGAACATATTTCCATGATACCACCTGATTTTCACAATCATTGTTTTGGTTCTTAAGTGACAGAATACATTCAGTTTTCCTCAAAATATTGTCCTCGTGGGTACATAGTACAAAATTTTCCAATAAATGCCACTTCAGAAAAATACTATATATGATCTGTCAACCTTCAGTAAATAAAAACAAGCAATCAGACTCATTGATGCTGTAATAAATAGCGAACTGGATGCTTGCAAGAGCTGCCTAAACCATTCAAGTTTTATAGACTGGTTGATTCAGTGATTCCCAGCCTTTTCTGATCCACATATCACTGAGACACACTGAATTAGAGCACTCCTCTTGAATGTGCTACACAACGCTGAAATTTGTCTTCTACTATTTCTTCCTGCCCACATCTCCTCCCTGGTATGTCATTTATGTGTATTCCACTCACTTCAGTCTTTTGTAGAGGACTTGTTCAGAAAGCTATTAGTTTTGCTAAATTCATAATCAAACTATACTGTCTTAAGTTATTGTATGAAAGTAACTAGATATTTTTAAAATTCGTTAATTATAAACATTTATACATTTTGCAATGATCAGTGCTACTGCTACCTTTGCTTGTTTCAGCATAAGATTTGCTGCACTGAAGTAGCAACGAAAGTTGAATGAAGCACTGGAGCTCCTCAGTGAATGCCTTCAAGTGGAGAATAAGCTTTATATTGGTAGAGTTCTTGACCTCCATATCCGTACAGCAGCTTACCTCTTCCATTCTCGTCATAATACGGATATCGATACTTGGGCCTGTAGAGAAAGAGCATGTTAGCAACATATTTGAACTCCTTCTGCTGTAGTGATTTCTAGGCAAGTACAGTACTGATACATATTCAGAGTAAGAATTAATTCAAATATGTGAAGTAATTATGGTACACATATAATTTCATCTTTAAGTTTGGCCCTTAGTGAGTGGAACTGTGACTATTTTGACCAGCTGTTCCCAGTTTTTTTTTTCAGCCCTAATTTGGCCACCAACGAACCTCAGAAACACTAGATTTAATTTTTTTGAGTACTTTTTATTCTTAAAGAACCAAATTTTCTGACAGTAATAACAAAAGTGATGTCTATTTCGAATTTCACAACTATCTACGGTTAAGATGGAGTGTGTCCAACATCCACATGAAATGATACTACTATTGCTTTAAAGTATACAGGGCTCCTATATTTGTATTGGTAATATAAAATTTGTGTATGACTGTTGCTCAGTGTTTAGTGGTGCTAAAATGTGAAGACCTTCATTCTGAGTTTTATTAAAGTTGATCAGTTACAGTAATTTGAAAGTTTCGCAGTATGTGACTCCCTTGGCTTATAAAATAATAGTTTAAAACAAATAGTATTCTCACAAAATCGTGAAAATAATTTTATTGGATTATTTTAATTTAATAGTTATGTGAATACTGATAATTATTATTTGCTAAGTAATTTGTGAATGTGTCCTCATCAAAACTGGAACACATTTTGTAATTACTGTAAGGTTTGAAACTTGGTGTATCAGCTTTTATTGCTTTGTAATTAGTAGACATCTTAGAATGAAGGCAAATGTTTTTAACTTCCTGTGTAATGTTCAGATGCACAGAAATAGAATTTTTATATGCTGTACCTATATCACTTTAGTTAGACATTTTTCTTTTATTGCTAGTGTGGTGGGACTAAGTCCCTTGCACTGTGTCCGCTTCTGACCTATTGTACCAGCCCCACATGATAGGTGAGGGTGATTGTGGAGCAATTGGTGAAATGAAGATTGGCAGCGGAAACCGAAGTACTCGGAGAAAACCTGCCCCAGCGCCACTTTATCCACCATAAATCCCACTTGACCGAACCCGGGCCGCCTCGATGGGAAGCCAGCAACTAACTGCTTGAGCTATGGCGCGGCCTTCTTAGTTAGACATTACTGCCTTACCTCTCAAAGTACTGGAAATTTGGTGCACGTGGAGTGAGTGTTGAATCCACCACAGGAGACACCCATAACATTACAGTAATAATTACAAGATACTGTGAACAAAAAGAGTTTCAGAGTTCAGTTGCACATGTAAAATTTTAAAACATGGGCATTTGAGTCGAATCTTGGAATAGACCTATATTGGTAATACTGTAAAGAAAAAAGCTTAACGTATGCTATAATCTCTAATATGCCGCCGTGTAATAGCCCAGCAGACGTTCATCGACGATTCGGAGGAATTTTTGCCTCCATCTTCAGGGTAAAAATACGTCAAGCAAGGAACAGATGGTAAGCTGAGTTAGCTTTTTGCTTAGCATATATTTGACCCTGAAGATGGAAGCAATGTGTTCTCTGAAACATCAGTAAACTTATACCAGACTACGTGGCATCATGCTCTTCATAGTCACTGCTGTGAGAACCTCAAATCCAGTACGTAATAGAGTATATATCAGAGAACGTCTTCCGAAAACTGTTCTGGCATGAACGTTTCTGAATCGCAGGCTACTTTTTGTGCAGAACAATTATACATACCTGTTCATGTCAAAATAAATGATGTTACACCAAATTTAGAATTTCTCCGTTTCTGAGTTAAAGATTTGACGCTTGCAACTTTTAGCAAGTCTCTAGAAAATATTTCTGTCGTTATGTATTAGATTTCGAACTGGTTTTAATTTACGGCTCATATATGTGTTGCATGTATCATACACAATGGTGAAAGTGCAGAATGACTGAAGTTGATTATGAGGCAGGCTTCCCCTGTAACAAACTAACAGTTGCAGATAAGTTATGTTCTTTTTTCTTTTCTATTCGGCATTTAGCAAACCCAATTAATAACGACAACCATGTTTACACAATATCTGAGACCTATAATTTTCACCACGAGATGTCGAAGTGTTTATATAAATTAATTAAAATTTGTTTCTCAAATTTAGGGGCACGCGGTAGCGTAGTTGGTTAAGGCACTATGCTACAAGGCGGAAGGTCGCGGGTTTGATTCCCGATGAGGTCATTGGATTTTTCAGTTGACCAGATCCTTCCAGCCGCACTATGGCACTACGGCCAGCTCAGCCTCTAACACAAATGAGTACCAGTAAACTTCCTGGGGTTAAAGGACGGGTGACGCGTAAATCTGACAACCTCACCGCCATCTGTGAGCCGATTGTCTAGAAAATATGGGAGCCTCGACGTCCCACAACCCTATGGGCCGCCACGGTCTCTTACAGTGATAGCTTTACCTTCCCTAATTAAAAATATAGTTAGTCGTTTGACATTGCCTTCTTAATATTCAGAACTTTGTAAGGCCCGGATAAAACTTTCTAGAGATTCACATTAGAACAGGAGACATCGTGAGTCCGTCGTCTAAAAATAACTCGAAGCTCGCTCTAGCGTCGGTGCTGTAATGTAGAATGGATCTGACACTTGGTACAACAGAGAAAATACATAATAAGTAGCTTCATCGTTTATACGGATGTTGTTAGAATGATTAACTTAATGAGGTAGGCGGGGCATTCAGCACGCGTGAAAACAATTCTTTGGTTGGAAAGCATCATTGAAAGAGGGCCCTTGAGATGCCCACTTGTGGGAATAGTGATAAAATTGGTCTTAGAAATGTGAACTGAATTAAACTTCCTGTGGATGCTGTTCCGCGTGAAAACAGCAATGATATTCAAATTCTGCAGCTACACCTTTAATAGTTGATAACCACTGAGTAAGTTTGTTAGAGAGCTATACTTACAAACAGGAATAGGTTGAGTGTGGACGCCATGTTGAGATGTGTGCTGCTGACTGTTGCAGAGAAATCGTGTCACTGACCACGTGAGTCTTCAGGTAGAGAAAGTTTTCTTGTTCTTGCGGAATCCTCCTCCTCGTCCCTTCTCCCGATTCGCAGTGCAATTGAGTTGCAACAAGTATAATAATTGACCTAGAATAATAGACCTCAAGCGATCTGGCGTCATCATTGTAACTACAGTCTTGCGCATTCTTGAACGTGTCATATTCCAAAATTGAAACGTATGCTAGTTGAAGACGCGTAGACGTTTATTGTATTGTTCTATTACAATGCTTCGGACCAGTTTTCTTAGTCTCGGAGAGGCCCAGTTCTTGTAATAGGACACTTTCTTTTACTTCGGCGAAGATGCTTAGGTGTTTTAATTCGCTAGTAGCACAAAAGCCCGCAATAATACCACTGCAGCTTCGACCTTCGTTTTCCCGACGCACCTATTATAACTGTAAACGTGGCAAAAATTTGTCTCTGCGACAAAATATCAGGCCGTGAAAACCTAGAAATGTTGTGACGGTAAATCTCCACGTATTCTAAGACATCGGTGCTGTATGGAAGTGGGGTCACCTTTACGTTCCGGCTGTTATACCTAAAGGGAAGGAACCCCAGTGGGCTCCAGAAATAGTCTGGGCTTACTAACGAAGAGAAGAGTCTCCTCTCCTGGCGAGAGTTGAACTCCTGTGGCCATTTTATTGATTTATTGTCCTTGGTGACGGTTGTGAGTTTTTACATGTAGAATTTAGTGACATAACGGTAGAAGTTCGATTCCCGGCACAGTGTTCATTATTTTTCTGATCACCTTACCTGCTACAATGAATCCGAGTCATACCTTCACACATATCCTGTGTACGCCGAAGGTCGTTTTACCTGCAGTAAAAACCCGAAACGTGGAGTTCTCTCACTATAACACGTCTTATTTGTGACCGATTCGGATTTCGAATGGGAATTTGGATATCCTGGCAGATTTATCGTGGTTTATCTTTCAGACGAATGCCAGTAATGGTTTTTATTCGAAGCAGAAAATCACGGAATAGTGCATACAATGAGGAAAATTTGAACCAATGACTACAGCTTGCGGCTGGTCCGAAAGTATGAGAGGTCTGAACTATATGTTCACCCGAATCGGCCCGAAATGTCACTTGTCAATAACAGTAAGGACTGTCACACGTAACTAACTTAAGATTTGAAGAAAGCAGTCTTCTGGGATTTGGCACCGTGTATATGTGGTGTTAACCGACGTTTCGGAGGAACGTATCACGCTTGTCCCAGCTCCCTTCCCCCACGCCTCCCACACCAGNATGGGAATTTGGATATCCTGGCAGATTTATCGTGGTTTATGTTTCAGACGAATGCCAGTAGTGGTTTTTATTCGAAGCAGAAAATCACGGAATTGTGCATACAATGAGGAAAATTTGAACCAATGACTACAGCTTGCGGCTAGTCCGAAAATATGAGAGGTCTGAACTGTATGTTCACCCGAATCGGCCCGAAATGTCACTTGTCAATAACTGTAAGGACTGTCACACGTAACTAACTTAAGATTTGTCTTACAAATGTTCATCATAACTCTCAAGGTTTAGCATTTGGTGAGATCTATAGAACTATTGCAAAAAAAGAACACATATTGGTATTTGGAAAGCCTGTTGAAATTACCAGGGAGTAGGATTTTGTTAACATTTAAAATCGTTCCCAAGAACTTCGGCAATATGAAATTCAGTCTTATTCGTCGACTAAAAGAGCCGGGATAGTGCAGTCGGTATAGCGACTGGCTACGGGCTGGGCCATTGAGGAGTCGGAATTCGAGTCCCGGTAGGGTCAAGAATTTTCTCTTCTCCAGGCAGACTCTGGGGTCCACCCAACCTACTATACAGTGGGTACCGGTGGCTCTTTTCCCGGGGGAAAGCGGCAGGGGCGTGAAGCTAACCACTCACCTCCAGATAGTGCCGAGGTCAATAATTGTGGGTCTATACATCCACTCCCCCATACGCCTTCATGGTATAGTACCTAATTAGTTAAGTACAGGGACAGCTTTACCGACTAATATTACTTGCGGGGGGGGACTTCTGTTTAATGAAAATTAATTTCTACTGAACTTCTGTTCATGTTGTGACCATCAGTTGGTAGTCACCTGAACATGTAACGTAATAATGTAAATAAAACTTTAAGGAAACCCGGCACCAGTGACGGTTTTACCTCAGTGTCTGTAGATTTCATGTTATTATAGCTCAGTAGGCACAGAGATAGGCCACGGGTTGGGCGGCCGGGGTTCGATTCTCGACAGGGGCGGGTTCTTTCTCCTCTCTATAGTGTCCAGACTGGCACTGGGGCACACTCATTCTCCTATCCAGTGGATACCGGGGGTAAAGCGGCCGGGGAGTGAATCTGGCCACTCACCTCTATCTAGTACCAAGGTGAAAAATGGTGGAGCTGTACCTCCACTCCCCCGTGTGTCTTCATGGCAACTTAACTTGTTTTAGCTGTGGCGAAGCTTTCGTAATGCGGAGCTGTTTTGAAGAGAAGGAAGACGGTTGACGGACTCTCTCGCCGCCTCTGGCGGGATTCAGGTTAGTGCCGGCGCTGCCCATACCAGCCCAGGCATGAAGATGCTCCCCAGTGCCCTTGATCTAATATACTAGAGGCAGTAAAAGCGTTGGTAAGAGGGCCAACACTTTCATTTGTGCGTGACCTTAATATAAAACAGTGACTTTCCAAGACCGTCGGCAAATGTATATAAACACATCTGAATCACTCCTGTAACTTCTGTATACACCGTTACTTTGTTATAGAGACGGAAAATCTTGAAACAAAAGTGTACAGATCCAGAGGTCCTGGGTTCGATTCCCGGCCCTACCAGATTTTCTGAGAAGTAGTGGGTCTGGAACGGGGTCCACTCAGCCTCCTGAGGATAATTGAGGAGCTATTTCAAGGAAATAGCGGCTCCGGTTTAGAAAACCGAAATTAACGGCCGTGGGAATCCGTTGCGCTGACCACGCCACACCTTCTATCCGCTAAAGTTGGCACTAACTTCGCCGACAAGCGGCGGTCGCTCGGTCGGTATATTTCACTTGCGGACTACAGGCCGCGGAGTCTCTTTTTTTTTTGCTAATTCTTTTTTAAAGTGGTGCTAATTTAAGAATTTCATCCCTAAACGGACTGACAGACTCATACACAGAGGCTCAGAAATATTCGACAGGATATTGGAAAATTCTGAGTTCACACAAATTCAACTTCCATTTAGTGATTTGGGCCAGTATTGCTCAGATGTTTCCAGATGGAAGGACACTTAAATTTATGATGTTTTTATAAAGTCATATGTGTATGCACGTGCGCACATGTTCGCAATACTCTTAGTTCGTTAATATGCAGTTTATTTTGTAGTAGTTGCGTATTAGTAAAAAAAGTAAAAAAGTAAAGCTATCCCTGTACCAAGCCGTGAGGGCCCATAGGGTTGTGAGATGTTGAGCTTCCCACATTATCTAGACAATCTGCTCAAAGATGGCGGTAAGGTTATCAGCCTTACGCGCCGGCCGCGCTTTACTCCCCAGGAAAATGATTAAATTAATTTCTGGTACGCATTTCTGTTAGAGGCTGAGTCAACCCCAGGACCACAAAATATTAAGATTCTGAATGAGCACATTATATAACAAATATAGGGGTAGCGTAGTTGGTTGGGGCACTATGCTGCAAGCAGGAAGGTCGAGGGTTAGATTCCCGATGAGGTCATAGGATTTCTCAATTGATGTAATTCTTCCAGCCGCAATATGGCCCTGGGGTCCACTCGACCTGTAACAGAAATAAGATCCAAGAATCTTCCTGGGGGTAAATGGCGACCGGCTTATGAGACTGACAACCTCACCGCCATCTGTGAGCCGATTATCTAGAAAATGTGGAAGCCTCCACGGCCTGTTACAGGTATAGCTTACTTTTTTTAACTTACACTGCGTTGAAATCCAGAAAACGTAATGTAATATTAGCTATTGCCAAGAATAATCTGTAATACTAATGCAGTTTATGTTGTACTCGAAGTATAGAGGTAGCAGTCTGGATGTGGGGCTGGTATTTTCGAAATAAACTAGGACCGCCAAATTGCCTCAAGCGATAACGCTTCTGACATTCGGGAGGTGTACGGTCCAAGTCACTTTGGGACACTGGTTATTCTGAATGACCTTTTGCGGTTTTCTTCAGTCCCTGCAGGCAAATTCCGGGATAGCAGTCCTAACCGGCTATGAACGTTCCTCCCAAGTAATTTCCATTCCAGTATTCAAAACTATGAGCAATTCTAACATTCGACTCTATAGGACTATAGCCTGAATTTCTGACAGCGACATAAAATAAACCAAAAAGACCATCTTGAAATATCATCCGAAATTTTATAACTTATGCAACTGGAAGAAACGTCTTTAAGTGATCCGAGAATTGATTCATTTAATGGTGTAACTAAGTTACTAGGATTTATACAGTAAGGAATTGCAGCTTTTCCAGCGACGTTCAGACAATTAACAATCCCACTTTTAACGTACGAATATGACAGAGACTAGGCAATAAGGCAAGTCTGGCTAATAGACCAGGTAACGAGAACTCGTACATGGTAACAGCTGCTGGTAAGTGGGTCAGTTGTATCAACGTCAGAGGAAGTCAACTTGAGAAAGGGGAACGTGGTGGCGTAGTTGGTTAAGGCACTATGCTAGAAGCCGGAAGGTCGCGGGTTCTATTGCCGATGAGGTCATTGGATTTTCAATTCACCTAATCATTCCAGCCGCACTACAGCCCTGGGGTCTACTCAGCATCTAACAGAAATGAGTACCAGGGATCTTCCTTGGGGATATAGGGCGGCCGGCGCTTAAGGCTGACAACCTTACCACCATCTGTGAGACGATTGTCTAGAAAACGTGGGAGTCTCGACGTCTCACAACCCTATGGGCTCCCACAGCCTGTTATAGGGATAGCTTTACCTTACCAACTTGAGAAAGTTAGGGACATTTCCGACTACGATATCAACTACGAAACTTTCTTTTTTCTTAAATCATTTAACAACTCCATAACAACTACTTAAGTTAGATATGTTATTGATATCCATCGTAGAATTTGTATCTTTATTTCTGAAAGAATATCCATAAAATACATACGAATCCTTCAGAAATACGCGCACAGGTATTCATAAATCTTTTACGCCAAACGACATATACCAAATGAGACCGGTCTGCCCTATACTGAATACTTCTTGTCTGTCAGTTTGTAAGCAAGACCTGTTCTGCTATGAATTCATATTTTAAGCGACGCAATGGCAAATCTTTTACCAAGGAGTATGTTTATTAATCGTTAAATTTTGAAGATCTCATTAGACATATCCTTTAGAATTTCATGTTTCTAGTCACGGCTTACTTTGTTTTAATGTTGCCTAGAACATGGATGTATGTGAGCTCTTTCGTGGCAATTAACCAATCATAGACGTCAGCACTCAGGTAGACATAACATGTAATGTGTCGGAACAATAACACGGTCGAGATTAACACTTTGTTTTTTTGAGATAAATATGTTAGTAAAAAGTTGTTCTTTTTCTGTCGTGTATTATGCCCTATGTCCACCGATTCAGGTCTCATACAGAAGCCATTAGTCCTTTGAATATTTGGTAGGACTTTTTCAGCTCACCCCAAGACCTCCACCTACGCAGGTCAACACAAGGTGAAAAGGGAAAATGCAAACATTCATTAATACCCTCAGCAGGGTTAAATAAATAAGCAGGATTATGAAATATATTTAAGAAGCATTTATATATTTTCCAGAAATATATTATTGTCACTGATTTTTACAATAAATAACATTAAAATGGCATTCACACAGACAATCGCCATAGTAGCTGTCATTACCTCGATTTCAGTTTCAGTTTATGCTGAAACATATTGTCTTTATTTATTTTAATACATTTTTATGTTTGTAAATGACTTGACGGACATCTTAGGTAATGTGTAACTTGATGACTACAAGTTTAGTCAGGATATACACTTGCATGAATGCTGGTTACGAGAGTTTATGGATGGGGGATGAAGTGTAGTATCCATGTTATCCTGTCACCTGAGTTTAAAATGTTATTTAATTATGCACACAGCCGACACACCACTTACAGTTCCGTTTAACGTGTAAGTAATATTAAAGAAATGAGTAACTGGAAAGATCACTACATTTGCTTTCACACATCCGTCTATATTTCACATATAATTTATGCATTTGTTTCACTTTATGTTTTCATTATTCGTATGCGTAAAACTCGCTAGTTACATGGAATAAAATATAGTTTTATACCATTAAATAATTCACCATATATCGAAGTGAATAATGATTATTCAATCAGCAGGAACTCCACACGATATCCTATACAACAATAATATAGAAGATGCGATTAATGATTCATTCATAACGGATCATTTGCATGCGGGTAACCGGCCTGAACGTCCCTCTCGATCTGCCGCAGTCTCCGCTCCTCCTGGTAGCCGTCTTCACCCTGTCCCAGGCGTGCAATCAGCTTCTGGCCTCGTACACCGTGCTTTCTTTCAAACTCAGCACTTCTTCGATCTGCAACATCCGGATCGAACTTCCACGACACCACCTGGAAGTTCTCCGCTGATCCCGCCAGATTCTCCCGGATCAGCTGCCTGATAATGCCCCCCCACAAGGGCAGAGGTGAGACCATCACCAATACAATCATCTGGATGTAAGTTAAAGTGAAAATTAGGATGCTGTTCAGGTTCTCTGTCCTGACCGCTAAATTGCATGTCAGAGGAAGTATGGAAAAAGAAATGGGCTGTTATTGGGACATGTGTCCTCCTGAAGAAGATAAGACTACAAGAAGAAAGTTGACTTATTCCAGCTTTCCAGCTAACCCCCCCTCCTTTTCACTCTCTCTCCTCCCCCACCTCTTTCTCTTAACGGCTCCTGCTTCATTAACACGTGTATGCCTTTAAAGCTCAACTTGTATAAAAGAAAGAGACGAAATCCGCTAGGCGTCCGGTTGACTTAGGCAGGGACCGAACAGCCAAAGTTCGAAATTCTATAAAGAATTTATAACTATTATCTTCGCCAACATGTCCAGAACTGTCCCGAGACACTTCAGTTCCTCTGTTCAGTTGATACTAAAAGTTCTTTTACCACGGTTAAAGGCCCACACCTTCTGCATTATAACACATGCATTATAGAACTACTTCTATAAATCTGAATCCTTCTTGAGAAGCCACCAGACGCTCACCTGCTCAAGAATTACCCAATTTGTTTCCATATTATCCTGAAATCTACGTCTAATTCTTCTTAATGGTCTCTTTCCTTCTGGATTTCCCACAAAAACACTTTGTGTGCCCCCATTTTTTCCCCATGCCTTCTACATGCTCTGCCCATCTCTTCCTCCTTGACTTGGCTATTCTAATTAAATAAGGCGTGTATTATAGAACAGTTAGTAGGCTGCGTCAGAAAGTGTACAATGCACAGATCGTCAGAGTCCACTCTCATTTACTGTTTCTTGTGTATACGACCTTGGCACCGTTTTGAATAAGCCCCTTACAGAGCCGTTACTAGGTTATGAACTTAATGACCGCTGTCGCAGCGCTTTTAAATGTCCATTCCTGGTTTGGCGCTTAAACAATTTTAACCATTGTGTTTAAAAATGCTGTGACTAACAGAATTTTTATGATAAATGGATGGAATTAA